TTTGATATCATGTGTAACAAGCTATACAACACGTACGCTGACTTATATGGTCCTTTGCTCACATTGGCGAATTTCGCGTGCTGCGCGTGTGTATGTCATTTGCTCGCTCTTATATTAATATGAACTATACTGTCCCAATAAAAATTATTTTACGTTGAGAAAATATATCAACTACTCAAAACTGCGAAAACTAAGAAGGCATTTGTATCGCGAGATTATAGTGATAATATTACCTCCGTTCATTTGTATAAACAACTAGCTAATTTTACACAATATGATTGTTCAACATTTGACATTTGACTGTATAATTTGGTTCAGTGTCAACAATTTTTGCTTTATTTTTTATATAGTTTTTCAAATTAAAAATCTATTTGTTTCAGAACTTACATTGAATCTATAGAAATATTGCGTGTGCAAAACTGCTCATAAACAAAATGCCGTAAAGGATTATTCAGGCAAGCAACTTCTATATATCTATATACATTGTTTTGACCACAAAATTGTCCAGTGCTGCCACGGTACAAGAAGTGGGTCGATTTTCTCTTAGTGCTTGTGACAGCTGTTCTTATACAAATTGTAGAATACTCGATATAAACCTACCTAGAGTTACACCTGTTGGTCAAGTATCACTAACGTCATCTGATCGCAAAACAAATAATATTGATCGACTTCATCGTTCCATTTGGTATATTTACATTGCAGTCGCTGTTATATAATAGGTTTAAAACAGGTGCATCTCTGCATATAACAAGAGCCGGGCGTATCAACGTATCATATTACACCCAATATGGAAAATACTACAGTTCAACGATACTTTCCGGCTGGACAGACATATATCTGTGTCTACGACACTCTTGTTTGGGGTTACGTCTATTCTCACTCTGGTTGGGAGTGTATTTGCCATCGCAGCTGTGGCACTGAACGGCCGTCTTCTCGCCATCTCTAAATACTTGCAAGTTAGTATGTTGGCATCAACTATAATAACTAGTATTGTGACAGTACCGCTTTTAATCGGCATGTTGAACGTTCCAGAGAGTTTCCAGAGTTACGCAGCTTGCGTCGTAGTTGAATGTTTCATCCTCATCAGTTTCACCAGTTTTACCTTGAATATTTTTCTTTCATCAGTATCAGTGTACTACCAAGTAATGCATCCATTTGAAGCTTCACTTGATCGCTCAACAAAAACGTTCTCCCGGGTCGCCATACTGATATGGGTCATTTCCGTGGTCGTAAGTGTCATCGTGTTGACCCCGTTCAACACTTACTGGGACAGTAGAGAAAATGATGGTTTTTACTGTTTCCCTCTATGGGTCCCGACGCTTCCCTACTTCGTTGTCTATAATTACGTACTGATCATACCAGCACTTGTGGTAGCTTACTATGTATACTTTCGTTCACACTGTGAAATAAGGAAAGTTATCCAACAGGTTGGTTGCGAGTGGCATCACCAATAACTCGTTTCCAAGACCCAGGAGGTCTACCAGAAACATTGCTACACTAGTGTTGTTGTTGTACGTTCTGTTCTTCGGAATGTTGCCGATGTTTATTTTCATGAATATCGTCTATTTTTGCCATGACTGTCTTGATCCCTTCTTAACATTGGTGATTATCACTTTTATCTATGGAGTAATTTCACCAATTGCATCCATAGCATATTGCCTCCGACTGAAAGAAAATCGTGACGCGATACGTCGACTATGTCATTGTCGCTGCTACAAAGCAAAGAAACATGATGTCATTCATATTTCACTAGCAACGTAGATAATATTTATTTAGTTTTACTAATCATATGCTTCTTGTTTATCTTCATCATGTTGATTAGTCTAGAAACTGTACATTAATTTGAGAGCCGTATCATTAAAGGCATACATTAAATATATATATTCAAGTTTTAGTGATTGATTTTCTTTCTTTTTAACGTGAACGCTACTGGAAATAAAGTGGTTAATATGAGTAATATAAAGTATTAAAAAAATATCACTATGAACTACACTCTATTGCAAACCACGTTTCTTCTCCTAAGTAAAGTTTATGCACCCGGTGAAGGTACTGAACTTACCGATACATGCTAGCGATATGTTTGTCTCGCAAACATTGACTTAATTAGTTGTTCAAATTGTTCAAATATGATTCAAAATGATATTCGCTAGCACTATTTATAATCAAGATGTTTGAATTAAACCAAAATAACAAAATGATATAGATAAGCCTACTCATAGTTAAGCCTACTCAAACATTTTAAACATTGTTCTCTGGGAAACTCCTCTAATACTGAAAAACCTAAACAGGAGGTATGTGTGAGGATCGGTAAAAATCGGTACTTCGCGCTACCTGAATGCGCCGGCGTATTCCCCGGAATAAGCATTGCGCGCCCCTAGTTGCGCCATCATTCTGTGTCCTTCACTCGCTCTCATTCTGTGCAATCCACCAACGAACTTTAAAAATGTTCAAACATGAACACTCATCTGTACCTCGGTGATTTTAATATAGTGTCACTTGTGATAGAGATGCAAAATGTTAACAGTGTGTGGCCAACACTGACTAAATATAACAAAAAAGAACAATGTATGCAAATCAGTATCGTGGTATACAGGGAGTAATGTCAAGTGTTTCAGAATGGTGAGAACATCATGTACACAATGTATATAATCAAATGGTTTCTGTATGAAACCTGATGTCTCCATCAGACAAGTGACATTGATGCCATCAGAATCAGAATTGCTCAGTAATTCTGCCAAAAATATCAAATCAATCTGATTGAAACCTGGCGTAGGTAGAGGCTCTTTGATTTCTTGTCTATGGTTGCCGGTGCATACATCCCTAACTTCGTGTAACACATATCTTCGCAAATCACGTTCGGTAGATCTCCTGTGAATAATTTTCAAAACCGCACAATCTCTCTGTCAACATTGACGTAAATCGCCCTCTACGGTAAATACACGTGTTTATTACAGGTAAACATTATTATTTTGTTTTATTGTCTTGATAAATGTTTATTCCTATATTATTATTATTATATATTTATCTTCAGATTCATAAATATGACACGGAAACATAAATAATGACATAACAAAGTAAGCAAAGAATATACACAGAATAATGCGAGCTATAATTGCTGGGTTCGAGGTTTTAACAGATATCACTCTTCACAGAGTTAATTAAAAATATATTTAGTACTCTGTAAACATTTAATCGAATCTTAAATTTAAAATTGTCAACCTATCAAAATGCGAAGTGTGTGTCACTACAAATTGGATTGCCATATATATTACACAGTATTCTAAATACGAAATACTAATACAAAAAGGTGTACATCAAGAAAGCATTTACTAAATCTATGTAAATGCAACGTTTCACATTATTTTCTGCAACATAATTACCACACAATGCGCATATCCAAACAGCTCAGCAAATTTCAACTCCGGGAAGATTGTCCAGGCATTATTTGGCCATCGTTCTAAAGTGGCATATCTATGTTTACATTGATCAAGAAGTTCAATTCTAGTGACAATGTTGCTGCGAGACGTGTGTATTCTCAAGTGTTCACGTTGTATTTATATACACAAATACCTGAATAAATATATAGCCTTCTATTCCTAATGGAAGGTTTTTGTCTGTTCATTGGTTAATGCCACGCCGTCGAAAACTTTGATGGGACAGTATTGATTATTTTTAATCGTTATATGCCGTTGAAATGAAGGAAGATAACAGTTATGAAACATTATTCTGTCATCATTGACAAACAACGCAAGTAGAACGTAACGTAACAATACAAAATGCACGTATGTCACCATTGTGCAGACTGTCCCATTAAAAACGACAATTAATGCTGAGTTTGTTTCCGAACAACCATTGATACGGCTTCAGAGCTTCGAAGTAACCATGGAACGTCAATATGATATCTCAGCAACCAATAATTATATTAAAATGTTTACGTCTAATTAATATCCAGTGTAATTAACACTTATGTATCCCACTGGAACCGGTTCGTTTATGAATCAGAAACTTGGGTGGGAGGAGACGCTGCACACCTGCGGGAATATTCGCAAGTATTGGGGTAACTGACGATATTAGTATTCAGATTTATGAGTTACCCATTCTGAAGACTGTGAATGGAATTTAGTTGTTGTAGATGTTACTGATTTGCTTTATTTGAGTATTTTGCGTTTCAAGTGATATTTAGAGTTTCGATGAGTTTTCTTATTATAATAAAGAATGATGCTTATGTCGATTGTTCATTAGAGAATTCATTAACAAAGTGTTTAAAGTGCGACTAAAACTCTATCTATACACATGCCCCGTGCCTCAATATGAGTACACTTTATGAAACAAACATATGATTTGCAATGTTAATGCTTACAACTGTTTTAAATAGGCAAAGTGTCATGGCAACGTCGTTATTACATCAACGTTGTGACCCCTAGTTCATCTATGCATACACTAGAACACTATTTACGTAAACCATTTGGAGTGTTCATTAGCAGCTGTCCCCACTACTATGTCAGCATGTCAACAGTAATATTATACTAAATGCAAATACCATTGACGAACTTTGAATACATCGATGTCAATAAGTCAGTAAAATTACGTTTGGCTTTCAAGTTTATCTCAAAGGATAGAGACTATCGCGCTATCCGGATACGTTTTAAATTAATGTATTTATGTGGAACACGCGTTGTAATTGAATACATTGAAGTTTCATAGGATATGTCAACATGAATATTTCAGTATTTTATTTAACCGTCAGAGTGTCTAGCAAGAATTATTATTCCAATGGTTGTACGTCAATTTGATGTGTTTCGAGCGCCAGTTTCAGTTTATGGTAACTGAAACACTGGCGACATATCACTGAAAATATTTGTGTAATGACGATCAACCGCGTAGTAGAGTAAGTACGAAGGTCATGTGACCAGGTCGTACTGTGAATCGCATCTCACGACACGGCCCATCTCATCGGTAGTGTGTATCTCTGTGAAAGGACTGTGTTTTACCTTGTCAATATGATGTACAACGACACTTCGCTGGAAACAAGGGATACACCGATTGTTGCGCTCGTCATTATGCTGTCGCTATGTCTGTATATCGTTGTGGCAAGTATATTGATTATCATTGCTGTTAAAGTCAACAAGGAGTTACACAATGTGGGTAGTTACTTACAAATCAATAACATGTTGGTAGCTCTTCAGACAACCGTGATTACTGTGCCTCTCCTCGTTCGCATACTTGCTACTTGTGGATTTTACGATTATTGGAGTTGCGTGCTAACTTACTGTTTCATGGTTTTCTCGTTTTTGAACAAATCGACAAATTTATTTTTGTTTGTGGTATTAGTATTCTATCAACTAAAGAGCCCCTTCCAGTCGCTAACGGACACGACAACCAAACGGTTTTGTAGCGCTGCTGTAATAATGTGGACAACAACCGGGATATTCAGCTTCATCCCTTCAATGGGATTCAACAGTTACTACGACACGCGTAACGATGATGACTTTGTATGTCTTCCCTTTAGTGTTCCAACTACTGCTCATTTCTTAGTGTCGGTGTACGTCATTGAGGTACCGTTCGTCGTAGCAACCTGTGTGATTGGCGGTATGTTTCTGCGTCTGGTAAATAAAGTGGCGAGCACGTCGACGTCAGATGCAGGCGGACTGTACGCATCCGGGAGCACTAAGCGTAAACTGGCGACAATAGTAATAATTATAACGTTCGCTCTCTTAGTCGTCTGGTTGCCAGCCATGATAATAGCTCACATATCGTTCTTCTGTCCGTCATGCGTGGACCATTACAAGGTGTTATTCACAGTAGCATGGGTATTTACCATTATATCTACGCTCCAACACTCGGCGCTATTAGATTGCGAGAGATTCGTGGTACGTTGAAAGGAAATACTACAATGTCAGTGTTGTAAAATAAATAGATGTCGGAAATGATGGAAACAGCGCGCAGGAAAATATAACAAACTATTACCTCTACGTACTGAAACTTTTAGAGACTATTCCACGGCAAGGAATCCTCGAATACTAAGGTTTACACATATAGTTTACGGGAGTTAGTAACTTTGCCATGGAAAAATCAGACTTTGGTATTACCGGGTGCATTCGAGTAAAATGTACGGCATGCGATGAGATATGACAAGACAAGGAAATGTTAATCTACATTGAGTAAACGCTCGATTTTGATGTTTAATTGATACGTAATGCGTTAGTTTGTGCCTCATTCTATATTGAACCCAACACACTATTAGCATTTGTGTGTGTGTGAATATCATTGTTTCCACTCACGATCGGTTGATATTTTATGAAATGCTGAAGTGTCACTTCCAGCAACAACAAATACGCCAATACTACTCTGGTTGACATATGGCATTAAACATTACAAGTACCATATCGTATGTATTGTGTGGGATCTCCATAATAACGAATATAAACAATAGGCCTAGCTTGTAATTTTCTATGAATCAGAAATTAAAGTTTGGTTGTTGAATATTTCACCACAGGTACATTAGTTGAACATCCTAATACAATCAAAACAAACCACTAGTAGGTCAACATGTTCAGTGTATTGAAAACCAGGTACTAGGATAAAGTCAATTTCAGTTCAACTCTCCGATAAGCATCCCTCGTGTCCGTGTAGGTACCCCGTGGGCGGGAGACAGGAGCAGCCCCGTGAATGTATCCTGCCAGTAACTTTTATTCTAATTTCTATATATTTTTTAAATGGATATCTGCTTTTACACAATTTATCGATATTGTATACTATTTTTTGGGGTAGATCATGTATGATATTATACATTTTTGTGGATATAGCGATTCCCCAGGTCTGGGCGTTTTATGCGAATTTATTTTAACTTGTATTGAAAGTCAATCATGCAAACTTGTTAAATCTGTCATATCTTTTATTAAAAAAGTACAAATATTATTATTTAAGAAAATCAGACTTGTATTCACATCATACATCTGTGTAAACTACTAGCATATTGTTTTAAGCAATATAAATATTAGTATGTAGACCAATGTTACAGCAGCTTGGAAAATACATCGTTTTGTGATTGTCAATCAGCGAATGTTTTGCCGAAAGCGTTTCAAACAAAGAGGCATCATTCATTGCATAATAGAGACAAATGCCGCATCATTGTTCATTTTTCTTTACGACGTTGTTTCGCCGTGTTTTGCCAGCTAATTGGAAAAAATGTATTTTATTAATTCGCAAATTTTATTTTTTTAAATAGTATTTAAACATGTATCTAATGTATACCTTTTAGTTCGTGGTGATCGTTTTATGCATAACATAGCACGGAAAAATTAATATCAAGAAAGTATTAAAAAAGTGCAAAATTTGACATATATATCGCAAAAGCGACATAAAGATAATTTCATTAATTTTCAATTGCGACACAAATGTAAAAACAGACATGTGGCGGAAAACGAGTGCTTTAAAATAATTGATATAGACCCCAACATTTGTTCAGTAATCGCAGTATGGCTTCGATGAATGAACATAAGGTGCCATTTTATTGAAATGTACAAAGTTCCTCGCCACCATATATAGGTCATGTATGACCTGACGTGAATTCAAGTTTCTGATTGGTTAAGTCATTCACCCGAATAAATCGACGAAACTACCATATACTTTTGTATTTAGGGTTGCATCTGAATAAATCTAATAATGAACTTATTATTTGAGTTATTTTAATGTCTATCTTGGGCTTAATCTGAACGTCACAGCGTATTTTATGTCAAATTTGCGTACTGTCCACATAGCTCCATTACAATATCACTGTTGTCTGCGTTCGTGAAATTCTCACTTAGAACCTGTCGATGCTAGACCATATCATGTCTGTTAGTATCTTTTTTATTCTGAAAAAGTCACTATTCACTGAATTGACCAATAATTATTCTTTTCAAAAAACTTCCAATTGTATGTTATTATCGCATTACAATTATTTTAGCTCCACAAAAAAACGTGTTAACGGTACTGGCTCGATAATTTCGATGTTTTGGCTACATTGTTTTTGTTCCACAAGTTTAGTGATAAATTAAATTAGATAAAATAAGGAGCCATTTTGTTGAAATGTACAATGTACCTTGCCACCATATATAGGTCATGAATGACCTGATGCGTGAATTCAAGTTTCTGATTGGTTAACTCATTCACCCTAATAAATCGACGGATTTGATCTGAATAAATCTAATAATGAACTTGTTATTTGAATTATTTGAATGCTGATCACATTTTTCACATATTTTTTTAATCAGGATATCTGTATAAGGTAATATTTCAGCCGGCGAGTAGTTCATTAATTCATCTATTTTACCAGCAGCGACACATTTTCGCAACAAATTGCCATACCTTTACCCAGAAATTTGATTTTGTTTGATTTGGGTGTTTAAAATGAACTTTATTTACCCTACTTGTCGGTTCAAAACCAATATTTGTCGTCGATTTTGAAATTTTATGGTCGAAACATATCATTAAAAATTGGTGGGCTGATTTGTTATTTGACACACCGCATTTTAATAATCTCAAATTGGGCGATTTTTACGGATGCTTTTTCGATCGTAAATGCAAATGGCGACATTTTTTAAATGACATAGTACGCTATTCAGTGCTAAAAAATTATTTATATACAAAAATTGTAGCATTGTTTTATACTTTTGCATCGAATAAAGTCATTAGTTGTTGTAAAGTTGACTTGAACTGTTATGAACCCCAAGAATCAGAAATATCACAGGTTCTTCTATCGACCACGTTAACATGAACGACGCCATTTTGACAAGATTTGTTTAGCGATGTCAGCATGTTGATACGCACCGTTTTTTTCCCTATTAAAACTAGAAGATGAACATAATTCCCGATATTAATGTTTACATGACAGGAACTGGATGTTTATGAGTTGGTAGGCTGGTTTTGATGCGTATCAGGTTTCAAAACCCCTAAATTTCATAGTGCTAATATTGTTTACATGTTTTGTTTACGTTGTAGTTGCCCGAATTTGAGGTCAAGTGAAGTCATACAATGAGGTATCGCTTTGCATCGGTAAATGTGCCGATTTTAATGAATATTCTGACGGTATTGTAATCTGTCTGACTTCCGGAATCCCTCGGCCCGGGTATGAAAGGTTTGTTTACCCGCACGCGGTTCGAGACAAAAGAACGCTAGTCGTTTCTAGTCCGGAGATAAAGGGACTGTCAGAAAAATGTTTGTCTTAGTTACGATGTTATGTACCAAAGGTCATATATATTATAACAGGAAACACTCTACACACAGCTATCTATACTTCAACACAACATTTTTGACAAAGTGGTCATTTTCAAAATATCTCAATATATAAGTTTAATTTGTAATTAGAGTAATACTATAATCTGTTATCCTAGCATTATAAATCACTGCTCTATTGACAGGAATGGAGGATACCATAATAACATAGCTCACTCAACATGTGTCGATGTATATGATGCATATGACTTCAACATCCAGGACAACTTCTCACAAAATGAAATACCATAAACGTTTGAGTAATTTATAAAATATTTTATTAGGTCTAAATTTGCATCAGAACACACTTGCACACAATACAGATTTCAAACGGAGTGTATACACATCTGGATGTCATGCGCTCATGACCAAAACAGCAGGAATGAATCTGTATATCTGAACAGTAAAACGCTGATTCCGTATTGGATAGATCTGTAGATTATGGACGATGATTTGCACATTACTCTCACGCTGATCGCTGGTAAACATGCCCTATTGGAGTAAGTTTCCCAAATGCTGGATGAATATCAGAGAAATTGTAATAACAATGATATAAAATGATAACACTTCACAACATTATACAAAAGCATGCAAATGGAGGAAATGATGTCATCAATTAGAGCCCGATTACTTCGTACATTAACTTCAGCACAAGGGAGTTCTTTCTAAGCTTTCTGTAAATTGTGCAATCAAGAGTACTCATGGCACCAAGAAGTGTCTGGCTAGATAAGCCGAGTGTCGCTCTTTGTTCCCTTTGTTTGAAATAGTAGAAACAAGCGATATGTATCAATATAATTGGAATACGGAACCGTGATTAAAAATATGTCACGTGGTGCACTGATTACAACCATGTTTAGATTGTTGCAAGTATTCGGATATAACGTACTATCGAATGTGTATCCTACTACAAGATCATACTTTTAGGGATCATTTCTATAGTATGTATCACGATTCCATCATTGAAAAGTGACGAGAAACGCAAACCATAATGATGAGTTACAGTGTTCTCTTCTATTGTTGTTTCTATTGCAACTGATGTTGGTCATTGATGAACGTTCCATTCCAAGTAATTGTGCATGGAGGAAGTGAACACATTCAGAGTGGTTTCTCATTTTTTCTGTTAAACCAAAATAAACCACCATCATAATGTCATACTATTCTATTGTGTGTGAATAATCTGGAGGGGCATATATAACCCTATTTGGATGGAGTTGTGTGTTACAGATTCGGGTTTGTTTGTTTTGTCATTTTTCATGAATAATTCAATACCTCTTGACACTGAAATGATCCCTCTGATACCTTATTATTTATATTCGCGATAATTATTCAAGAGCAAATCACAAACCTACGATACATCGTTTGCTATTTTTGTAAGCTAATATGTATTTAGCATTGTGCACTGGCAATGTAATCATTTTTAAATTGTATCATTTTTATTCCTGGTATGATTGGGAAACACTCACTCAAAAGGCATGGGTATCGGATATAATGTAAGACTTCTCGTCGGAAACTTTTCAGACCAAAAACTGTGGGATTATAATCGAACACTTTCTCGTGGTGTTTCACGTCAAAAAATCGTATTCAGTGACAGGGTGAAAACAAAATCCTAAATGTATATCGTAAA